CCTCGTAAGAATTTTTACCGTTTAAAATAAAGTAAATAGAATACAAAATGTAAACCATATACTTTTTGAATAATTATATGATTATTGAAATTCATCATAATTAACATTATGGAATATTTGTCGTACGGTTAATCGTTTATTATTCTTTCATTCAAAAATTCCATGTTAAAAAGAAATGAATCAGAATAGATTCAAACTGCCTATTCTAACGTAAAATGTCGATAAAAACTGCGAAACCTGTAAGAAACGTTGTGTGTCATGGTCGGCCGTCAACGAAGCGTTGCAAAAATTAGCATTGCAACGGTATACTAAATAATACATTTCCTCGATACCCGCGCGTGTAATCAAACGGTAACCAATCAATTACCGCACCCGTTTCAATACGAGCTTCTCGCTTCTTGTTTACCCTCGCGCGTGCAACGGCTCTTCATTGCGTTAACTATTGCGCGTGTGATAAGCCATATTGGCATGTAAATAAAATTTTTCTATCATCTAATTCTATTTTCCAACATAATGTTATCGTATAAAATATTATATTATAATGGTTTGAAATTAACAAATAATGTCATTTTAAATAAATGATATAGTACATTGAATCCTGTTCGGTTTAGATAAAAACACTTTTATTCAATTGCAGAAGGCTGTTTACGTAACTGTTGTGCGACGATTAATAAGAATGGGTCGATGAGTAACCAAACTAATTTATTCACCTTATCGTAATTAGTTCTAGCCGAGTTGTCGCGACACTCTGTATATAAGTTGCCATCAATGCGAACTGGGAATTACCCGACAATTATGCTCGTTAACGATTACGCATACTTCTATGTTATTATTGCGAGGGAGTGGAGATAACAGAAAGACAGGATCGTAATTTCAGATCGGAACTTCATGCATACAGCGCAATCTCGTTAAACTGCGGATATTTTGTATTTTTATACATTTAAATGAGACGTGTGCAAGTAACTGAATATGTATTAAAGTTTGTTAGAAACTGATTTACATAAAGTTGAGAAATATTTAATTTGATATTCTAGATTAATTAGAATGAATACACAATCATATAACAATCGGTTCTGTAATTTAAAACTTATGATCACACATGATATATCATATAGGAATTAAGGGCTAGATAAAAGAAAATATCTGTCTACATTCCATTCTCCGAAGTAATACCACAGAAGTTTTATTCAATACAAAACTACGTAATCCATGACTTGTTTCAATCCTACAAATGGTTACAGCGATACGGGAAAACAAATTGGAAGAAAGTAGCAATTTCTAAGTTTAGTATGTCATCGTACATATCGCTTCCTGGTTCGAGTTCATTGCCGACCGCCGAGGTTTCTTTAGAATCGATTATACGCGAAACCTGCAGACTAAGGTCGTTCGGGTTTCTCTTTCGCGTTCTTGATTTCGTCACACCCGTTCTTCTGCGACACCTCTGATCGAAAGTCAAGATCACTTTTTATTGATCGATTAATGGGCCGTGATAATAATTTCGTTCTTTGTTGTCCCCTCAATAAGAAAAATACGTCTCAAACGTTTTTCTACTCTACAGATCAGGAAATGCTTCTGAATGCTGCGAATGCTTCTTGTAAGTTCAAACCGAGGTTGGGTATAATAAAAACAAAATGACAATTTGTTGTTTTATACAAGTTTCAGTTAGTCTAAAACTTTATAGTCTTTTCACAATTAATTCACACATTCTGATTATTTTATAAGGTTCGTTGCATGTAAACGTAACAAAAAGGAAATAATAATTGGTTCGTGTTACAAGATTCGAGTCTCGCATTTGGAAAAAACGCTACGGCGTGTCGCTCAGCTTCGGCTCGTGCGGAAAATAACGTTCGCCTCGGATTTCGGAGTGGCGTCGTTAACGGAACGTCGCGGCGCGCTGCGTCGTTCGCGGCGGCGGCCGCGTGTGCGTGCTTGAAGAAATATACAGCGGGACGCGAAAAGCGTCGCAGTCCTGCGTTACGTCGAGCCCGTCGGTATGCGTAAATATACAAGCCCCGACGCCGCCACCTCTCTCTCTCTCTCTCTCTCTCGCTCTCTATATAGTATCGTTGGCCACCCTGATTTTAGTTTTAGAAAGAGTCCGTGACTCTATCCGCGTCGATACGTGACGTCTCGACGCCGCGCAAACATCTTCTGGTTTCAAGAATTTTTGGAAATACTGCTTGCAAAAATGTTTTCATTGATTCACACGAACCGGTATAACTTAGTGTACTCCACGGACGCGATAAGAGGTGTACAAGAATGGCTCTGTTAAATTCAATTAGATTATCAGGCAAATAATAGAATTTGTCTAATTAAAGTCATAGACGATGTCAGGCCAGGAGAATTTGATGCGATAAACAAACTGACAGAGATTTATGTTCGATTTTATACTACCTGACACATTTCTGATTAGAGTATAAACTGGATTTCAGCAATTCAGGTTGATGAGCCGTAAGATCTCTGCCAAAAGTTTAAGACATGTAATAAAAAGCTGTGTCCAATATTTGAAGCAATGTACTTTTAGAAAAAATGATAATTACAGAGGAGTAAGGTTTAGAAAATTGTACAACCTGCTTTTCTCAGTCATATGGAATTTTTAATGCTTAATTTCTAATATTCTAATATACATATAGTTTTGGCATTTTTTTATTGAAATGTTGCATTCATATTTTTTCATAAATGAAATCAAAATTCAAAGACAATAGAAGTCAAGATGTAATAACTTTTTTAATAGGCTCGCGAAGTTTCTAAAATTTTGTTTTATTAATGTAATATCTAGTAACTGTTAAAATTTCAATGCTTTGTCATTGTTTTTATGTAAGGGTTCATACAACCTTAAGTTATGCGCCACATGATCTTCGAAGACCATGTTCCTGGGAAACAGTAGTCTACATTAGTAAAACCATTTGATAGTCTGAAACTTCTCTACTTTCACCTTTAAGCGTTCACGAACAAAGCCGGTTTCCGGGTAACAATTGCCCAAAACGTGTGGACATTCGCGTTTTTACCGGCGGCTCGCGACTTTTCCCACACGGATTTTCCGCATTCGAGCCGACGATCATCCCTTTCTCTCCGGGGAACTCGAAATCATCGTCGATTCGCACGTGTGCGTGACCAGCTGAGGTCCGTCGAGAGAAAAGCGATTCTGCGAACCGGGTAAACGTTCTTCGTTACGCGAAAGGAACGCCTGGCCTAAACGGTCTCGCGTCTGAGAAACTGAGAACGCGACTCTGCATGCCTACCGTGGGACTCGCGATTTAATTCCGGACGCGAACCGGTAACGATTTTCTAGAACGTGTGCCACGGATGTATCTTCGACAATCACAGTCTTCAAGACTTACAATGGTTTTTTAATAAATAGGAATGTGCAAGAATTTAGAGTTGTATAAACGTCAAGTTTCCTTCTCATGGGAAGCAACGGCAATAAGTGAAATAAATATTAGAAAACGCGAAATGAAGATCTTTTAGATTACATTAATCGAAGATGTCTGCCAGATCTCGGCCGTTATCGATTCTGGAAAATTTTTCGCTCCATTACATTTTAGTGTGTCTGGTTTTTGCGCGAAGGCGTAGTATTTTTTCCTCCCACTTTTTGCAGCCCGTTTCGTTTTTGCCCGGATCTGCTTATTACGCATGGTCGCGGCACGAGTTGCAGGACGTTCTTTTTTTTCGACAGGTTACTTAACGAAAAGTTAATCTTTGTTCTACTGAAGGCGCGGTACGAGACGTTTTACACCAGCGCGCCACGGAATTAGAGACCTTTCGGTGCTCGTTTTCTTGTTCCCACAATTGATTAACGATCTTTTAAAGAAACACTTGACGGGATCGTGTTAAAATTCTTCCGCCTTAAAATTCAGTTTTCTGCGAGGTCATTGGACTCCGGCTTGTCTTCCGTAATTCTCCACTGTTAACGCTGATTAGGTTAAGAATTGAATAAATTTATAGTCAAGTTTAATGTACAATATTTGTAGACTGTCAAGAATAAAGAGTGACATACATTTTGAAACTATTTTCGAAGCTGGTATTTGTAAGCTGGACATACAATATTATTAGTGATCATAATTTTTTCCTATTGTACCCACGGGACAAGCGTTTCTCGCCACCCACCCATCAGAAATGACCTGAAACTCGTAGCAAACAAGCTTCGAAACGGTTAAATCACGCGGTTCGAATCGCGACGAATCTCCCGGAGCGCGAGAAAACGACGAGAAGAGAAAGCAAGATTAAAAAAAAAAAAAAGCAAAGAAGGAAGAACAGAAACGGAACGTGGCCAGAAGAAACGAAAGAAGGAAAGGAGGGAAGAACGGGCCGTGAGATGGATTCAGGGGACAGCAAATTGAACGGCTCGGAGGCAGAGGCAGCGGTAATGATCGAAGAAGCGGCCGGTAACAGTCGAATTAGCGGAATCACGCGTACGTGAGAGCAATCGCTAAACCGTTGATACCATATAATCGGTAATATCTTTCCGCACGCTAGAATGTCTCTTTTTGCGCGCGAGCGGCCACCTCCGGGCGATCAGCCGTTTCTTCATCCACGGCCGGTACGAGCGGCGAGCTGCTTTTTGGCACGTCTAATGTCCTTTAAATTGGCCGATGAACTCGAACGTCGCGCTGCTTATCCCCTCGATCCCGTCGCCGCGTCCCGGGGATTTTATTAATTTCCACGACCGCTGCGCCATCGCTGATGGGATAATGATAATGATAATACGCAGCCGAGGACGTTGAACCGAATGCCGAGTGACTCGATGGCCGCAAACGTTCGCGAAC